GGGGGGGGGGGGGCGGGTATCAATAAATCACTCAGCTTCCCTATGATTCAGTTGCTCACGTGCGAAACAGGAATACTTCTCTATCACACAGGGTTGTTCTGAGGATTAATACATTAACAATTATGAAGAGCTCAGTTACTATGGCAATAGGGTCTGCATAAATGCTAAAAGATAGAAAGGTGACTAATTTGCCACTGTCATATACAAAAACTTGTTACATAATAGAGTTTTCCTATAACCATAAAATGTGAGGTCAGATAAAACCATACAATTTTGAAGAAGGCATAGCAGTTAAGCAATTTCCAGCAAAGACATTAAAGCAGTATAATAGATTAACAGATGTATTTTTTCTGATGCACATGCAATACACACATTTTAATACGCTGACAATTTTCACTTTATTAATATCTTACACAGCTCTTCTGAAACAAGACTACTGCTACGTGAGCTGCCCTCATTAAGCTAAAAAAAACTTTGAAAAATTTCAAAGTATTTTCACTGTCCTTAACAGTATCTGCTAAGCTTGAACGGAAATAACAGATAAAGGGAGGACAAAGAAAAATTCTACAATGGAAGCACAAGTCAGAAGAATGAAGTGCAGCCAAGAAACCAGAAAAAATACTAAGGAAGCCTTTGCCTCTACTTTCTCTACCAAGAGCTAATTTTATTTAAAAGTCATTGTAGACAGAAAAATAATTATATGTGATGGGACTTTTCCTTCTTAAATTACATTTGTATTCACAGCTTTAAGATTTCATCACAGTAATTCCCCAAATCCCTTTCCTAGAGAGTATATGCCTGAACATCTTTATTGTTGGATCTCATCCGAGTCTTTTTGTGCCATGCTATCCCTTTATTATAATAGTCTCTATTCTGCTTTGCAGTCTGACTAAATCCTATTATGGAAGGATTTCCTCATAGTTAAAAGGGAAAACTGTTTTCCACACTGACCCAGTCCTAGCATCCAATTTAAAAAAAAAAACAAAAACCAAAAAAACAACCAAAAAAACCAACAGTGAGCACAAAAGGTTATGCAATAAGGTAAAGCCAATCTAACACATTTAAAGCAGCTCTGGAGGAAAAAAAAAAAAGTGTCAGTGTAACATTAATTACGCACACTTTCCTCAGCCAACAAATCAAAATTATATTAAAGCCAATCAAATGGTAGGGTAGGGCATAACTTGACAATTCCTTGAAGCAACTGACATCTGCCTGAAGTAGCTAGGGTAAGTCACAACCATTAGAGGAAACACTGAGCGATGGTAGAACAAAACTTAGTCCTGATCTGCACTGGTCTTACCTGTATACTATTACTGATGCTATTAGCCAACCAGATGCAAGATCAATTATTTGTTTGTGTCTGCACATGTGTGTAGATTAAGGCAGAAGTTGAGCACAATGTTGCCATGGATACAGTGTTCTGTGAACAGTGCCAGTAATTTACAGATCAGAACGTGAAGACTAGTCATCCTCCTCAAAATTTCATGAACTCAATGTCTCAATATTAAACTTTCCTTGACCACAGTTCCTTGCTAAGAAATAAAAAGCAACACCATATTAACCATTCACAACAGTAGTACCAGAACACCACGATGCCTTCTAGTATTATGGGTAGCTATTAGTGGTGTTTCAGAGCCCACAGGCAGAGTGACTTCCTCACTTATCCTCCTTAAGTCAGCTGATGTGATTTCACTAAGATCAGAGCCCCATCCCACATAAAGGAGGACTTCAACCCTTCAGTGGAGGCTGCAGGACATGGCAGTCTCAGGACATCCCTTTTCCACTCCAGACCAGAGAACTCAACCCAACAACAGCTCTCCTTTGCCCAGTATGTTGCTGGCAGAGGTCTGAAATGCTGTAGCACCTCAGAAGGAAGAGAACTGCAGCCCATTCCCAGCCCCTCCAACAGCCAATGCTACAGTAGAGAAACTCTACAGCCAGCACTGCTCCCACTGCAAGGGAAGGGGAAAGAAAAAATGGGAAGTTGAAAGCAAGATGAAGGACCAGCGGCACAGAAGGGAAGACGAGCCGCTCTAGGCAAGTTGAAGCATGGCGCAGGATTACAATTGCAGATACCACAATAGCACAGTTGACTCTTTCTTTTGCATTACATATTTAGAACCTCAGTATTACTGCCAAACACTCTTTGCCAAAATATCCACATTTGAGAAAGAAAACATTTTCACTTTCTGCATGGGAAGTTGGGCCCTCTACTAAGAAAACCATTCTTCAGCATTATACAAGTTCCTAAGTAGCAGTCATCAAGTTTGTTGAGTTTAACTACACTGTCAAAACAAGTATTATATACTATCTTTCCATTGACTTTATATTTGGCCCAATTGTCCCAGTTCAAGTTACAAGCAATTCAAAACAGTGGCTTTGCTTATTGCTTTAAAATAATACCATATTTTTTAAGAAACATTTTGACATGAGCTTTTGCCAGAAGATGACCATGTTTGCAAGATAAATTATGTAGGACATTCTTAATGTTAATTTATAGTTATTATCTAGATTGTAACTCTGGGGAAACTACTCAAAATATGTTTTGTAAGACTTTGAAAAGGTACTTTGTGTGCAGAAATAGGTGGAAGTTAGGGAAAATGATATGCAAATACCCATGCTGGAATTTTGCTAGAGCAGATAAAAACATTTCTATTTTGATAATAAACACCACTAAAGCACTTTTTAATGCATGCTGAAACACAGCATTTGTAGAAACAAGTGAACAGCATGTGGAATCTCTGATCACCCTTCCTGCAGAACTTTGATGGAGTTTGCAAAAGAATAGGACCTCTAACATGTGGAACAGAAAAAAGCTGCAGTACAACTCTGAACTCAAAGGTCAAAACCAGCAACCTTACAAAAAGGACAATATATGCCTCAAACAGAACCATAACCGAGATAAAGCAGCTGCTTTGGTAACAGCAGCAGCCTGCAATCCTGCTGAGTTCTTCCAAGTGATGAGCAGCAGTGTGCCTTACCAGCTGAGCAGCGGTATCTCATCTGTCTGACAAAGAAGCACCTCACCAACCATGACAGCCACAGCACCTCTATGAATGGAAGCCTCAGAAAGAACTGCTTATTACCCCACAAGGTGTTCCCACTGAATTTTGAGACACTGTCCAGAAGAAAGCAGTTCTTCACTCAAAAAAGCTACTAGAGACTAACAGTAATATTAACTTAATCTAACAGTTACAACCATAGCAGGATCAATCCATATTTCAAACACAGGCATACAAGAAAAAAAGGAAAAGAAGTTTCCTACTCTTACAAGCTGTATTTAGCACTAGAAGTCATGCTGAGGGTGTTGTCTTTTTCTCAAAATTGAACCACATGAGTGTTCTTCACCTTCTAACAAACGAGGGAATAGCATCCTGCCTATCTGCAAAACATGCTTTGAGCAGGATTCTGGTTTACTATAAAGCCTACAACCTTGTCGCTGGTTAATTCCAAAAGAGCAGTATCTTAATTAACTCCACCACTAACAGAGGGTCTATTACTACATTAAGCAGAAGCAGTGCACAAACAAAAGAACAAGACAAACTTTTAGCCATACTTGCTGAGGCTTATTTTCCTAACGAGATTACCGGTTCCCCAGCAGGGAAGATTTTTAGGGAGAGCAATACAAACTCTAGGGTAAGCGGGGGCTGGCAAATAAGCCTGCACGACTATTTGCTTGGGGGTTTTCCTGCATACTTTTCTTTATTGAAGGGATGGGTGGAGAAAGGAACTCCTAAGAACTGCTTTCTTATTCTGCCCAACTTGCCATTTTCCTGTTCTTCCTCTCCTCCCTGTGAATACTTGGCAACAATGTATTTTTAAGAAATACTCTTAATTATTACACAAGGAAAACAGTATGATAAAAGAATATATTTAAGGAAACAGGTTTCCCTAAAAGCAAGAAGGCAACTTTAAACCGGTATAAAAAAATAACTAGTTTCTCACTCTCTTAACATAGTCTTTTATATATATATATATATATATATATACACATATATACACACACACACACACACACACACAGAGAGTTGAATTTGGTCAGCACGTTATAGCGTACATTCTTTGAGTGGAGTAACTTTCAGCATAAAAAACTGGTCACAAAGGGTCAACAATGCATGGCCAAAACACAAAATAAAACCATTTAATGTTAATCAGACATCAAATACTTACTCAGGAAATTGCTTTAGTGTTTTGATGAAGACTGTACTCAAGTATTGGCAAAATTTATGAGAAAGTGTTTTGAAGGTGAAAACTTGCTACAAAAAATACCCCTTTAGTGTAAGCAACCAAACTTCTTGTCCCCAAGTGCATCCTGTCCAAAGGAGGATGATCCAAAACAGTCAGAGAAAGGTCTCAAAACCACTCAAAATAATTGCTATTACTGAATCAATTTGGTGCTTTAATTCAGAAAGGCAGCAATTCAGAGCTTTGGGTACCAGAGCTGTAGCTTAACAAAGGCCTACCAGCACCTATTCAGATAGGCATCACTTTCTATATTCAGATCTAACCCCCAGAAACATGACAGAAGTATGGACAGATGGTATTTGAGGCCAAGGTCAACAATGAGGTCACCACAACCTTCAAGCCAAGGGTCTGTGATAAGACACATTCACTTTAATCACATATCCTTCACAGAACGTGCATTTCCCAGAGCATATTTCCAAGTTGGTATTAAATTTGATGCACAGCTTTTGTTTTCAAAAGTTCATTAATGTTTCATGCTACAAGCTTAGTTTCAGCTCTAGATGTTAGCATTAAGGAAACAAGATGATAGAACTATTACAACTCTTCCAAATGTAAGCTGGCCAAAATAATTTACTGTAGTAACACTAACTTGCCCCCCGTGGAACTGAAGTCTAATTGTGCCTCATAGCATGACAAAAAAAGAAAATTCAAACATGGTACCAATTTAAAGAAAACATACTTTCAGCTTTCATTAAAAACAAACAAACAAAAACCCCCAAAGCTAAACATCTTGGGATTCCTGGAAATCAGAACCAAACTTACTTTTTTTTATATAAGCAACTCACCTCTATCTGGAAATGTGCCTTCCACTCTTATTATAAGTAAAATCTCTGCTGGAAAATTACAGAAATGTTTTTTCCTGTCTCTTCATTTGCTATGTATGACAGCATTTTGTCTGAAGCCAGTTTCTGCTGTTTGCCAATGGTTTTGTCCATAGCCTCTTCCCCAGGGGGTTTCACACAAGAGGGAAGACTCTTTCATAAAAAAATATATCAAATTAGCAGGCAATTTTGGAGGGGGGTGTGTGATGATTAATACGTGAAATATCCGAGTTTTTGAAAATCTATTACAAACTCCATTATGTTTCTACAAAGCCCTTACAGGAGTGTCTGGAAGAGGCAAATACTTCACTTTAAACAGTGTGTTACCATTTAAAAACCAAAAAAACCCAAAAACCCAATTTAAATGTAAAAAACCCAAAAATACCACCAACCCAAAACCAAAGTCTGCAACACCTGAATTCATTCCATGTGCTCAGAGCCAGATTCAGCAAAATATCACACATGCCCAGAGTGTACTGACTTACCTGAGAAATGAAGGTATGCAGTAGTAGTTTGCAGAAGATATCAAAAGCCTTGCAAAATTAAATCAAATTTTAGAAGGTAAGAGAAATAAAAGCCAATGAGAGGGAACTTTTGTACACATTGTCATTACTATCACAGTCATCTAGCTCTTTAGGGAACAACGGTGAAAAGAACCCTTACTTTCAGTCTACAACCCTTTTGCACATTCACAACCCTACATGCTCTCAAGAACAACTGTTCTTGTGGCGTAAGTAACTTCCACATAAGGGAGTATACACCTCTGCCATGTTTCCCTATAGCTTACACGACACACTTCCTTAAAAATCCCTAGGCAGAAGCAAAGAGTAAAGACTAACCTACCAAGTTTGACTCCTTTTTTAAAGGAATATATTGGCTAAATTTCCATTTAATCTTCCAGATTAGACTCTCTCATATCCCTTCTATTTCATTCCTTAGAAGTCGAAATCGGATTGTTATAAACAAGTACAAACAACAAATAATGCAGGTTCTCAAACCAGCAAAATAATTTTGGTTTAAAATACAGAAGACTGCCCTGTCGCTTTCAGTTTTAACCGGTGTTACATGTGAAAATTCACAAGGGCTGCCACCCACATTTTAAATCGTTATTTTAAAATTAAATACTTTTTCACACGCAGTGGTTTATACCATAATCAGCATATTCTTTGTAGTAGGATTTTTTAATTTTTTTTTTTTGTAAAGCCACACTGGAGAGAAATTGCTACACTTTAAAACATTTCCAGCAACGACCTGAAAGTGAAACTGGTTTTACGGGTTTACTGCTTCTCACGTTAAGAACAAAGTCACAATATAAACAGTCATAAAAATTATTGGAGGGGGGAACTAGATGCAAAGAATCGAAAACTTCTAAAGTGCTAATACTGAAGAGTGCTCTATAGCACTTAAAATGAGCATGACTGGAAAACTAAACCTTAAAGGCTTTAACTACAAGAGGAAGTTGCTGAAAACCCAGCACTTCAGTGGATCACTAAGAGAAGCGTACCCGAGTACGCCTGTATCGCTGACTACGAGATAATCTGAAACTTTTTACTACCGATCCTGTCTGCCGGCAGGAAGAAAGGGAACAAAGTAAAAAAAAAAAAAAAAAAAAA